GGTTGGTGGTCGGATAAGATAAGCTAGGTCTCGGCTAGGTCTCGGCTAGGTCTCGCCCGGGTCGGGGTGGTGGTCGGCGTCGTAGATGACGACGTTCTCCGAGGTGACCTGGCGGGGGGGAGGAGGGTGCGGGGGGAGGGTTGCGGGGGAGGAGGGTGGCGGGGGAGGAGGGTGGCGGGGGAGGAGGGTGCGTGGTGCGGGAGGAGGGGTGCGTGTGGAGGAGGGTTGCGTGGTGCGGGGGGAGGGTTGCCGGGGGAGGAGGGGTTGGTGCGAGCGTACGTCCTTCATCGCAGCGTTGAGGTTGTGCGCCTTTGAAGTCGAGTGCTCCACGCGCATGATGACAAGCTCGTGCTCGCCTGCACTCGCGTGGAGATATGGGGGGAGATATGGGGAGATGACGAGCTCGTGCTCGCCTGCACTCGCGTGGAGATATGGGGGGAGATATGGGGAGATGACAAGCTCGTGCTCGCCTGCACTCGCGTGGAGATATGGGGGGAGATATGGGGAGATGACGAGCTCGTGCTCGCCTGCACTCGCGTGGAGATATGGGGGGAGATATGGGGAGATGACGAGCTCGTGCTCGCCTGCACTCGCGTGGAGATATGGGGGGAGATATGGGGAGATGACGAGCTCGTGCTCGCCTGCACTCGCGTGGAGATATGGGGGGAGATATGGGGAGATGACGAGCTCGTGCTCGCCTGCACTCGCGTGGAGATATTTTGGGAGATATGGGGAGATGACAAGCTCGTGGTCGCCTGCACACACGTGGAGATATGGGGGGAGATATGGGGAGATGACGAGCTCGTGCTCGCCTGCACTCGCGTGGAGATATGGGGGGAGATATGGGGAGATGACGAGCTCGTGCTCGCCTGCACTCGCGTGGAGATATGGGGGGAGATATGGGGAGATGACGAGCTCGTGCTCGCCTGCACTCGCGTGGAGATATGGGGGGAGATATGGGGAGATGACGAGCTCGTGCTCCCCTGCACTCGCGTGGAGATATGGGGGGAGATATGGGGAGATGACGAGCTCGTGCTCGCCTGCGCTCGTACTCGCCACCGAGTGACTGCTGGCTACCGGCTGGCTACCGGCTGGCTACCGGGCGGTGGCGAGGGTCTTGCTCGCCGGTTCCGGACGGGTTGGGGTAGAGCGAGCCTGCGGAGGTTAGGGGTAGGGTTAGGGGTCGGGGTAGGGGTAGGGGTAGGGTTAGGGGTAGGGGTAGGGTTAGGGGTCGGGGTAGGGGTAGGGGTAGGGGTAGGGGTAGGGGTAGGGGTAGGGGTAGGGGTAGGGGTAGGGCGTAGGGCGTAGGGCGTAGGGCGTAGGGGTAGGGGTAGGGGTAGGGGTAGGGGTAGGGGTAGGGCGTAGGGCGTAGGGGTAGGGGTAGGGGTAGGGGTAGGGGTAGGGCGTAGGGGTAGGGCGTAGGGGTAGGGGTAGGGGTAGGGGTAGGGCTGGGGTAGAGCCTCGGCCGCATCTCTGTCTCGGCTGCATCTCGGCCGCGTCTCGGCTGCTCTGTCGCCGTCTAGCGTCGCCAGCTCGTCTTCGATCGGGAGAGGCTTTGGAGTGTTGTAGCAGACCACCAGCCGGAACGGCTTCGGGTAGCGCAGCTTGGTCAGGATGTGGTCGAGCGTCTGCCTACAGGCGCACAAGGCACAGCCCGCCGTTGCGGACGGGTGGGGGCTGCGCCCTCCTCGGCGGCGGCGCGTCGCCGGATCAGCTGCTGCTCGTTGGGCATGTAGCAAGGCACCAGGATTGTGAGGGTGGGCGCGCGGCGTGGGTCCTCGAGCCATTCGTCCGAGGACCACGAGGAGAGCGCGGGGTCGAAGATGCGCTTCACGAGGGCGCCGGCGGCGGGGACCGCCGAGATCGTGCCTGCGGGCCCGGTGCGGTGCGGGTGGAGGAGGCAGGACAGGGACAGGGACAGGTACAGGTGCGGGCGGCGCAGGCGGAGTGCGGCGGCGCCTGCAGCATTGCAGAGGAGGAGGACGATGAAGAGGATCCACTGGAGCCAGTCCATGTCCCAGCAGCTGGGGCCCGAGACGAAGACGCAAAAGATGGGCCCCTTTGGCCACTCGATCCCCGTCCCAGCGTAGGGCCCCGTCACCCACGCGCCAACAAGAAGGAGAGACTGGACGAACATCATGGTGATGCCAGACATGACGCTGGAGCACGGGTGCATCCGGCAGGAAAAGTAGAGCCACATAATGAACATGAGCACGAACATGAAGAGCAGGTCAAAGATCGACGCCGCCGGCCCAGGGAAGAAGCCGACAAAGGTCTGGTTCTGCTCCCACGGCCGGATGACGACTTGCCCTGGGGGCGGAGGCGGCATGGGAAACATACCCACGGTAATGAACCCGGGTTCATGCCCCTCATATGAATCGGCGAGGGCCCGCCAGGACATCCCACCAGCGAAGACGCGGGGGTCGTGCAGAGGTGATCGCTGCCGTCGCGCCGACGCAGTCGACTTTCTTTCGCGATGTCCTCCCCGCCACGCTCGCGCCGCATTACGGCCATGGTGCTGGTTTCTCAGAGGCCACTTCTTATTTTGGCCTCAGCTGACCGTGTCCTCTGATGTGCTCTGCAAGGGTGAGTCACGTCGGCGTCAAAGGAGCGACGTGCGACCTATCCGAGCTTGATCTCCGATCTCAGCGACGTCGAGTCGTCTCTGGCGCGCAACAAATGTACCTCCCCAGGACGCGCAGAGGCAGCTGCGACCCCGCCGAGTGGACGGGGGCACTCCGCGCCACCTGCCGAGTGCCCCCTTCCAATCGGCGGGGTCGCAGCTGCCTCTGAAAGCACCGCGAGAGGTACAATAGTGCGCAAATGGTCAAAATCAAGGTTTTGTAACGCGAGCTGTGCCACAGTGAAATGGAACTAGCCAGGGCGATCTCGTACGCCAGAGCCAACAACACATATGCAA